GTCTCGGCCTCGTCGTGGTCGTCGTCGTCGTCGTCGTCGTCGTCGTCGTCGTCATCGCCGGCGACGACGACGACGACGAAGGTTTGCGCGCGACGCGGTTAGCTGGTCGCGCGGAGAGGAGTACGATACGGAAGAGAAGCAATCTCGGAAGAGCGAACGCGTGTCGCGTCGCGCCGCGCGGCAGAACGCGAAGAAGCCGATTCTCAAATATTCAACGACGATGCGCGGCGCATATGTATATACACGCGCGGCGCAGCGTCACGGGACAGGATGGGACGGGACGGTACGACGCGACGACTACGACGACGACTGGTAGCTATCGTTGCGGTTTGTTAGGCACGGTTCGCTGTCGTTCTAGGGGTTACGCGATGTATGCATGCGCATACGTATACGTCGCGCTGCGCCGGCCGTACACATGTAAGCATACGCGCGCCTGTGCCGCGTGTGGCTGTGTGTGTGTGTGTGTGTGTGTGTGCGCGCGGTATTTGTCGTATTTTGCATAGTGTATTTAGGACACGCGCGTCCGCTGTAAAGATGCGCGCTCTGTCCGGTGTGAGACGCGCCTCGCGTTGGAATTGGAAAGCGTCTCTCTTCGTGCGCGCCGCACTTGCGAAAGACTCGCGGCTGTCGAAAATCGGGCGAAATTATGCACGTGCGCGCGTGATATCTCGCGATATCGACGATTCTCACGGTGGAGGCAAATCGGCCTCCACTCCGGGACGGGCGGGAGAAGCTCAAGTGCCGACGATGAGTTTGCACCGGCCCGGCCGGAGCTCTTCCGCTCTCGCCGACTCCGAGGAAATCAGAATCGCTCGACAATCATACGATTGCAAGGCGCTCTTCAATCATCTGCCGCGACTCGCGGCAACTGCGAGGCCCCAAGTAGTGTCTGTATGTGTGTGTGTGTGTGTGTGTCACTCCTCGGGGCTGCGACGCGACGGCTCGTCGGCGGCCGAGCGTCGACGCTTGCTTCGTAACAATTAGACGATCACACACGCTCTCGCGTGCGCTTCGATCTCGTTCGTCGCCGAGCGAGCGCCGGAGCCGGAACCCGCGCGCGTTTGCTACGTGCTCCGCTCTCCGAGAGAGAGAGAGAGAGAGAGAGAGAGAGAGAGAGAGAGAGAGAGAGAGGAGAGCCTCGCTCTCCAGAAGGATGAAATGCTTCCACCCATTATTACCGCCGCTATCCGTGTGCATCCGCATGACCGACGAATCGACCGGTTAACGACGGCCGGCTCGGAGAGAGGCAATCTCTCCGCGTGGAGAGGAAAAAGGAACGTCGATGGTAGATAGCCGAAAAATCCGAAGGATTTCAATTATGCCGGCCGACCGGCCAGCCAGCCGGCCAGTTCCTCTCGGCCGGTCTCTCGCTCAGCCGTCGGAAAACGCGAAGGCGACGACTCTCGAAAAATAGCGTCTCGAGTCGTTAAAGCCTGGAGCACCGTCGCGCTCCGTCGTTCGTAATGTCCCGGCGGTTTACGAACGATGTTATTCTTGTTCGTCGACGAGGACCTCAGGAACGCTGCGGGACGTTCCTCGGACGTTCCTGTGCGTGTCTCTCGGCGTGAAGCCACCACGTCGGTCTCGGCGTGTCGCTCGAGATCTCGCCGGTCGTATTTCGTAGTCTGAGTCCTAGACTGAATAGAAAGACGATAGCTGTTGAATTCATCTGCGAAACACCGCCCGGTCCGGCTGAAAACGCGTCCGAACGGCGAAGAAAGCTTGCCGTGACTAATCGAACATGGAGCTTCCCTTCGTTCCTTCGGCATTCGACTCGGGGGGGACTCGGATTCGTCTCGCTGATGGATTATTTGTCGTTTCCGGCTGAGGCAGATCCGGGTGAGACAATCAACATGAAAGATTAACGACTCGATAATTGCGTTTATCCCGATCGAGATGAGAGCCTGAACCGTGGATGAAGACGAGGGACACTTTGTGGGCTCGAGCCCACATTTGCGTGGTTCGTTCGGAAACGAATGACGCGTGCGTGGAGATTGCAGCGAGATCGCTCGCGAAAGCGTGGCAAGCGGCGCAACGACGACACGCATCGGCTCGCGACGGACGGCGAGAGGGCGACGTTATCGCCGGTTGCACACACCATGCGGCTGCGGACGGTGCGGTACGGCGGTTAGGGGCGGTTAGGGCAGTGCGCCGCAAGGGTGGTCAAGCCGCAAACGAGACCGCCGTCCTAGCTATCTGCTATCTGGATAACCGCCATCGCCGCCGTCGCCCTCCCCACCCCCCCCCCGACGCTTCCACCTCCGTGGCAGCGGCGTGCATGTACGACGACAGGTAACCCGCAATGTCGCCGCCGCCGCCGCCGCCGCTGCGCTCGCTTATCGCGCTAATTTTCAAGTCGAGACGATAATTGCGCGAGCGCGAGCGCGCGATCGCGCCACGGCTTAACGAGCCGACCGCTCGTTTCGATCAGCGGCAGCGTGCGACGCGGCTGACGTATCGCGAAATACCCCTCTCCCCCCCCTCTTTCATCACGCCGCCGCGGCCGACACACAGAGAGAGAGAGAGAGAGAGAGAGAGAGAGGCCAGAGGGAGAGGGTTTTGGCCGGCCCCGTGTTCGCGCGCGAGGACCGTGTTATCGCGCGACGCATCTTTGTTCGCGGTTTGATCTCGACGAGATACTTCCGCGTGCATGCACGCGGCCGGGCATCGCGCCGTGTCATGTGGAAAGAGAAGAGGCGGAGGGTGGTGGTTTGCGGAGAAGAGAGCGCACGGAGAGAAGCGCGGCGGTGTGCAGAGAGCGAGGGGGGCTGCACGTTGGCGCGTTTATTAGTGTCCAATTGTGACGAGGAGAGAGGCGGGGGGGTGGGGCGGGCTCGGGCCAGCGCGAAAGCGAGCGCGTGAACTCGCTCATTTGCGTGGCTGTTAATTTGCCGCGTTGTATGCGCGCCGCGCCGCAGAGAGTTGTCGGCGCGACGGACAGAGGGAAAATTAGCTCTTTGTGTATGAGTGCCACCAACTGTTGGATCGCGGAGCGTAGGTGGGCTCGACGACGACGACGACGACGACGACGACGACGACGCGGTTAATCATCGCGGTACCTTCTCTCTACGCGGATCGCGAGCCTACTCTGCGATTCCCCGTGAAAAGAAAGGCATATACTCCTCCCCCTTGCCAGAACAAATACAAGAAGACAAAACACGGTCGAAAGCGAATCGCCGGCCGAGCGGCCTTTTATCGCGGCGCGCGTTTCGCCACGGGACGGACGAGGAGGGAAGTCTGCAAATTTTCAGAGGGGCGCAAATGGTATTCGCGGAAATAAAGAATATTTAATCAACGCGGCCGCTGTACAGAAGAGATAGACAAAAGCGCGATTCACCGCTCCATTTTTGCGTAGAGTACTGTATAAATCACACCACCGACCTCACCCTCCTCCCTAACCCCTGCCCGAGTTCCTTGACTCCTCTTTTGCAGATCGTACTGTGTGCGCTATCGCTCGGCTATTTTATTATTGGCCGTCACGCGCGCAACGCGACGTGATAAGTTCGCGTACGCGAATAATCCGGCGTGAATAAACCGCGCGATAGACGAGCGAGTGAGAAAGAGCGAAAGAGAGAGAGAGAGAGAGAGAGAGAGAGGGGGGGGGAGGAGAGAGACAAAGAGCGGGGAGTAATATGTTTCGCGCGTGTATGTACGCATACCTGCCGGGGCTCGTCGTCGAATTAACCGTAATAACCGACGCATTTAGCCGCGATATACAAATCTCGCGGCTCCAATAGTCGCCGCCACCACCACCGCCGCGCCGCCGCCGTGGTCGCCTCCACCTCTCTCTCTCTCTCTCTCTCTCTCTCTCTCTCTGCTCACTCTCTCGCTATCCAACTCGTGCCACCCTCTTCCGTGTCATCCCCTGATATGCGCCGCGAACGCCCGCGCACGCACCGCATATCATTACCATGCAAATACGCCCGGCAAAGCCCGCGTAAAATCACTCTCCCTCTCTCTCTCTCTCTCTCTCGCCCCTCGCCTTCGTCCCCCGTCATCATCGCTTCACCCTTCCCGACTTTACTCCCGACTGTTCCCCCGCGCCACCGCCGCCGCCGCCGCCGCCGCCGCCTCCTCGGCGCTCTTCCACCCGACCGACCTGCCGCGACCCCTCGTCACCTCCCGCCAGCCAACCGGTCACATATGCAAAACGTGCCACTATTATAATAACATTACGCCGATGAACCTTCCATTGAACGCGCGCATGCACGGCCTCGCTAATTATACACCGGGTGGCGCGACTCGCACGAATGTCGGGATCGACGGAAGCGCCGCGCGCGATTCGACGCGAAGGCGTAAATACAATCGTTTCGCCCCGGCTATCGGCGCGCGTATTCTTTTTCCTCTCTCCCTTTTTTTTTTTTTATTTTCGCTCTTCCATACTCGGATATAACCACGCACGTACGCGTACGTGCGTGTGCATGCTCGCGGAGGTCGAGTTCGCTCCGATTTGTTTTCATGACAATCGCGAAACCGTCAGCATGCCGCGCGCGCGGCGGTGACCGCTCTTTTTTTTCCCCCTTTTTTTATCGGCGAAATAGTGTCGTAATTTTCATGACGATCCGCCGCTGCCCGCTGCGCGCCGGCATGCAACTAAATATTGTTGATGCCTCTTTTTTGGCGCTAACAACATTCACGTGGATAGAGTAACGAGTGGTCCTTGTTTTTTATTTCCGCCGACACCTGCCCGCTGTGTGCGCAGCCCCGATTTTTTATCGGCGTGCCGGCCACTGGTCATTTCGCTTTTCTATTTTTTTTTTTTTTTTTCAAACGGGAAACGAGAGGTCATTCCGGCCACTGCGCTGCGCATTACTAAATTCTCGTGTTTTTATGCAAGATCACGGGAATCACGGGAACCGGGGAGTGTCCGGATAAGAAAAGAAAAAAAAGATTCGGAATAATCGCGCGAGATGCATGAGAGACGCACGGAAGGGTTTATCGCGAGGAGCGGGGGCAAGTAACAGGATCGTACAAGAGGGGGAGAATAAAAGACCACCGGGTTGCTCGATTATTATATTTGTCATTTATTTATCGACTCTCTTTCGTCTCGTCTGTCTCTTCAACTTTGAGATGTACAATTATAATTGTGCTGCTCCTACCTCATCCGTCACACATTCTCTCTCGCTCTCGGGAGGAAGTAGAAAAATATATAATGATATTACTTAAAACCTTGTTATTTACAAAATTTACAGACAGGCCACAGCTACTTACACAGGGGCTGGGGTTGAACGCGTCGGAGCGGGACGGAGACTTCGCCCAAGCGCCGTAGAGAATCAACAACAGTCGGCAGTCAGAGGTGACGTATCGTATAAGTACAAGAAACAAGAAAGGAAGAAAAGGTCAGTCAGTCAATCGATCGATCGATCGATCGACCGGACCGGACCGACCAACCGGCCGATCTCCCCCGCGCAGACGTGAGTTCACACCGAGGCGGGGAAAGAGAGGAGGGGGAGAGAGGGGGACGTCTTACACACCGTTGCCGATGCGCGACTAGCACTGTTGCACAAGTGTGTGTGTGTGTGTGTGTGTGTGTGTGTGTGTGTGTGTGTGTGTGTGTGTGTGTGTGTGTGTATTATCCGCGAATTAATGAACGAATATCACTCCGTTGAGCACGGAGAGAGTATCAACACGTGCGCATCTGCGTGTTTCCCGGACGAGCCGCCGGCAAATACGCGTGCGCGCGCGAAGCGATACGTATTCTCAGCGTACATTCCACGTGATACATACGCCGGTACATACGCACGCAGCACGGAGGAAAACCTCCGTTCCGTTCATTCATTCGGGCGAATTCATGTCGTCCGATGAGTCGGCCGCGAACAATAAAGCCGCGGAGACGCGTAGAAAGCGCGCGCGCGCGTTCTCGTGTCGGCTAAGCTCGGATCGGCCTGAAGAGTCGGCTGAGACACAACGGCGAGTTACATCACACATCCTCTTCGTCATGGAACGAGTAACAAGAACAACAACATTTGTAACAATAACAACAACGGTGATTACGTCGCCGCTCGGGAGAGCGCTCCCCCTGAGCTGAGAGAGAGAGAGAGAGAGAAAGAGCCTCTCTTTCGCCGCCTCGTGTCACCGCCTCAGACTGCCGCCGGTCTCACGATGCTGATGATGATGGTGGTGGTGATGGTGGTGATGGTGGTGATGGTGGTGGTGGTGATGACAATGATAACAAAACGGCGACAGCGTTCAGTATATGACCTTGTAGACGGTGGCTTTCTTGTCGCCGGAGCCTGTGACTATGTACTTGTCGTCCGTCGATATGTCGCAGCTGAGTACCGACGAGGATTCCTTCGACTGTAAATATAATCGACAAACATGTCGAGTGAGCGCGCGCGATAACGGCTATACGGAGCGCGCTCGCTCGTGCAAAGAGGCAGGAAGAACAGGATGGAAAGAAACGTACGCCAGAGATAGGACGTTGTAAAAATTCGCGGAGGAGAGGGAAGGAGGGAGGGAGGGAGGGAGAAAGAGATAGGACGTTGTAAAAATTCGCAAAGGAGAGGGAGGGAGGGGGAGGGGAGAGAGAGAGAGAGAGAGAGAGAGCTCTCTCGAGGCGGGTTCGCTCGTTTTATGAAACGTCAAAAACGTAAACATATTTACGAGCCGTTTCGCAGATGTCTATTATTATTCCGCCGCCTCGAATTCTACTCGATAACGAAATCGCGTGCGCGAGCGCTCGCTCGCGCTCAGCGGCGGTTATTCATGAGCTTTATAAATCAGTCTTTTTACTCTATTTATCTTTCTCCCCCCCCCCTCCCCGCTCTCTCTCTCGCTTGCCTTATCGGCGAATCTCTCCCCGCGGTTCGTTCGCGTTCATATCGCATAATTATATAGCTCCTTAATGAACTGTTCGCGATCGTCCCCGACGTCTCTCGTCCGGTCTCTCGTCGCGGCGCGTAATAATGCGCTTATTCTCCGCGCGGAAGGTGCGAAGGTGTAATTTGTAGGCCAGCCTCTCGTGGCGGCAATAAAACGCACACGCGACCGCGCGACGCGTCGCGAACGGAATTTCAATCTCAAGGAAGCGCGCGTTTAAGTCGCGCGCTGGAATCGACGCGCACTCGAAGCGCACTCTTTCTCTCAAAAGTCCAGCCGAGTCAACAGACGCGCTGAGAAAATGAAGGAGAAGGGGGGGGGGCGAGGGAGGAGGCCGCGTTAGCTCCCTGCAACTCTGCGCGGCTGATGCAGCTCATACGTACTTGGAAAGACTCCAAGGAACCGGTCGCGTATTACCGAGCGTCAAAGTGCGAGTAACGGGCGGCGATGGGAAGAAAGGCGATCAAGAGGAAAAAAGAGAAGGGGGAGTAGAGAGAGGAGGAAAGAAAGCGCGCAAATCGACTCACACCAACCTGGAATATCGAGGCTCCGTAAGGGGTGCGCCACGCGTTGAGGAAATTGTCCTTGCCAGTTGAGACGAACCACTTGCCGCACGAGGCGAAGCGCAGCGAGAGCACGCAGGATTCATGCAGGCGCAGCTCGTACTTGTCGGGCTTGGTGGCGTGGAGCACCTCGACGCGCGAGTTCTCCATACCGACCGCCAGCCACTCGCCGGTCGGGCAGTACCCGAGGGAGAATATCTGCGAGGTGAAGTCGTGCTGCTGCAGCTGCCGGCCCTCCCGCAGGTCCCACGAGCGCACGGTGTTGTCGAGGCCGCCGGTCCACAACTTGGTGCCGTCAGCGGAGATGTCGATGCAGGACGCGCCATCCGTGTGACCCTGAAATTGTCTGACCAGTGTCTGATTTTGCAGGTCCCACACGGCGATATTGCCGTCGCTGCAGCAACTGAAGCAGACTTTCGAGTCTGGCGAGATCGCCAGGGCGTAGCAGGCCGGCGCCGATGACGGGAGCTCCGCTTTGATCCGCGGTGTCGGACTGGCCAGGTCCCAGATGCACAATTGGCTGGCTTCACCGCCGACTATCAGAGTCCTTCCGTCCGGGAGTAACTTGACCGACCTGCTCGTCAATCGAGAGGCTCGTATGAGAGGCTCGTTTCGTCGATCGGACTCTTCCGTCCTCGGGGGGGGGGGGGGAGGGAACGCTGCTCTCTTACGCTCGACGCGTGGAGCGCGTCGCGTCGTTTCCGCGCTGACGCTACTCACCTGATGTAGTTATCACGCTGAAGACAATCTAACTGCGATACCGGCTTCACCCCCGCGATACCTGCCTGCCCGATGTCCCAGACCTTGACGCATCCTTTACCCCCGGTGTAAACGTACTTGGTGGGGTTCGAGATGGTCACCGCGCACACGACCTCGCCGTGATTAAGGGCGCTGATCTGACGGGCTTGCCGCGGTATACCCGGCCCGTTCAGGGCGTCCTGCGGGAACGGCACCGGCTGCATCTGACCGTCGCTTATGTGGTAGCTGTATGCACTGCGAAATCATTTCATCGCCAAACGATCACGATAAGTGTCTCTCCTCCTAGGTGTCATCCAATATCGCCGGCCCCGACGGCAGCGGTGTTAATCGTTTGATCGCGCGATCGGATCGAGTGCTCGACTTTTGCAGGGAACTCTCGCGCAAAAATTGCTATCGCCGTATCGTTATCGTCGTACGTCTCGACGACGACGACGACGACGACGAGCCTTCGCCAACGCGAGCCACGAGTTCGCGGCAACTGTTGAATTCTAAGGAATCTGAGAAACACGGCTCTCTGACGAGACACGGCTATTTTCTGTGTCCTCCGAGGAATTCCAGGTATACAAACGCGTGTCCTCGAGACAAAACGCGCTCCTCACACGTCGCCGTTCGTACGGCGAAGAAAATGGAATACGAAACTGAATTGAATGGAATGTTTTGGCCAAGCGAGACGAGAGAGAGAGAGAGAGAGAGAGAGAGAGAGAGAGAGAGAGAGACAACTCTGACGCCGCTGAGTCGACATGCAGCGCACCTTTTTCTCACGGGCACGCGCGCGCGCGCGCGCGTGCGCTTCAGACTCTTCCAAAGTCGCAGACCGAGACGTCCTTCGCGGTTCACCACGAGTTGGCGCTTCGCGGTGCGCGCAAGAAGACGCATTTCGGCCAAAGTGCAGGTGTCTCCTATACTCACGTTTTGGCTCCGGGTATCCCGACCGGAGCCCGCATCGCCGCGTGGGGGTCGTAGAGCTGCTGCAGCGAAGCGGGTGCCCGCGGCGTCACGTATCCATTGTAGGCCATCACGTCCACGTGGGGATGCTGGCCGGTCGGGGCGAGATGGTGCGGCGGCGGTGGTGGCGGCCCGGCCGACGGATAGTGCGGCGAATATGCGGCTACGGTGGACAGCGCGGTCGGTACACCTTGCACGGCCACACCTTGCATGAGCTTGCTGTTCGCGGCGGGGGACTTGCCGGGGTTGCCGATCGCTGCCGAGCCGGAAGTCGGCGTCAATGGCTTCGAGATCGGCGTGGCCGTTTTCTCCCGTTCCTCCATCTTCTTGGCGGACGGCGTGCTCGCGTTGCTACTGGTACCACTGCGCGGCGACGGCGGCGCGGCATCCTTCTTCAGCATCTGCACGCCAGCGGCCATCGACGAGGCCGCGACCACCGCGACGACCTTGTCGAGGCCGTTCTCGCGTGGCGGCGGTGGCGGTGACGACGACGACGCGCCGTTGACAACCGGACTGCTCGGCCCATCGCTCCCGTCGTCCACCACCAGGTCCTGGTCGCTTTTCTCGCCGTCGCTCTGCGCGCAGAACAAGCGGCCGAATTAACGTCCGTCGTCGCGGCCGTTCTCGGCTGCTCTTATCGGAGCTCGTCGTCGTCGCGCTCGTGGAGCGCGCCGCGCGACGGGCTCGTCCCGATTTCGCCAAGTTCGCGCCCCCGCGCTTCGTTAACGCACTTACGTGGCCCATGTCCTTATCGTGATCCTTCTTCATCTTCTTCAGCGGGTGCATCGAATGGTCGTGGTGACTATCTCTCTGAGAGTTGTGAGAGTGATGAGTGGTCTCTTGCGGGCTGCGAGGTCGGCTATATTTCTCGCTCGGCGATATCGAGCTCCTCTGTAAAACGCACGAACAACGATGCCCTTCTTCTTCCTTCTCCTCCTCCTCCTCCTCCTCCTCCTCGCTCGTGTTGTGTCGCGCGGGGGCAGAGACGCGGCGACACGCACTCGCGCGCGCGCGTACACACGTCCCGGCTATTTACGACCGCGTTATGTACCGCGAGAAAGAAGGAGAAGAGAGAATACCGAGTACATATCGGAGTCGCGTGAGTGAATTCTCGATATCCCATTACGACGCCGCGCGTTTCGATATCGTATATGCAGAGAGGGGGAGAAAGAGAGAGAGAGAGAGAGAGAGAGGGGGGGAGGGAACTCGCTCCTCCGTCTCGAAAACGGTAGACTCGCACGTACGGTAAGCCGTGGTAAGCGCGATACGGTATCAAGACGACGCGTCGTTGGAACGAAATACGGGGAGTCCCGCCGCTCGTTCGCTCGCTCTTGTTCTCCCGCCATCTATCTTTCTCTCACGGGCGGCGGCGCCCGTTAATCCCCGTTGATCTCGTTAATCTCGTTTAACAACAGACACCGCGGCAAGTACAACGGCATGGAACAACGGATTAGCCACATATTCCCAGTGGCGCGACGAACGTGACAAAACCGTAATTACCCCGCGTCGACGCGGGTTATTATCAATCGTCACGCGAACGCTCGCGATAATCGATTTCGACTTTGCCCTTCCCTCCTCCGCCCCCCCCAATCTCTCTCTCTCTCTCTCTCTCTCTTTCTATCCTCCCCTGTGCCACCCCGAGCCAACCGCCCACGGTCCCTTTCCTTCCGCACGATATCCGCCCGCGTGTTGCGGGTGTATCAAAATGTCCAAACCTCCAGCGACGCGACCAGCTATTTTCGACCGGTGACTCGATTTTTCAAGCGAGCGGAACACGTCAATGCGCACGTACGATAGCACGAAGCGCGAAGGCAGAGAGAGAGAGAGAGAGAGAGAGAGAGAGAGAGAGAGAGAGAGAGAGAGAGAGAGAGAGAGAGGGAGAGAGAGAGAGAGGGAGAGAGAGGGAGACTCGCGCATGGACGATACAAGGATACACACGCGGTTGCTGGCTGGTTGGTGGACGAGCGGTTCCGCCGCCGCCGCCGCCGCGTGGCTGGTAAATTCGCGCGGTGTCTAATATTAGCGCGCGCGTCTCGGCAATAAATTCCGGCCGAATCTGCCCGCTGGGAGAAGTTGGCGCGTCTCGCGCTCGCGGGTCAATTCGTAATGGAGCGTAATGGAATTCAGGACGCCGGACGGTGCGGTGCGGTGCGGTGCGGTGCGGTGCGGTGCGGTGCGGCGCGGCGCGGCGCGGGCGGGGAGGAGGCGCAAACAAACGAGCGAAGAAGCGCACGCACGCACGCACGCACGAATGAACGAACGGACGAAAGGCGGCTGAGAGAAGACGGTCGACTAGAAGGAAAGCGGAAAAGAGTCGCATGGCACACGCTGCGAGGGCCGGTAATGATTACAGAGTGGGCGCGCGCGCGCGCGCGCGCGTCGTGACGCGCCGACACGGAGGAAGAAGAAAAGCGCGCAGGGACGAGGCCCCGGCGGACGAAGGGGAGGGCAAGGGAGGAGCGCGATAGGGACGAAGGGCCCCGGAGGGAAAGTGCCCGGCACCGAGCTCTCTGGCGCGAGGAGAGAAGAAAATAGAATGGCGAGAGGCGGAATGAGAGGGCGTCGATGGGCGTTTCGCGGCCCCGCGATGATTACAGGCTCGGCGCGCGCGAGTCCGTAATACAAGATATGTACCCCCTTCCGGCCCGGCGCGGCTATTCTTTTTCTATCCTTTCTTCCTCGAGACGCGGACCGCGACGGCGGGACGTTCGCGCCGGCATGGTCGTCGCTCTGCGAGACGCGCGACGTCGAAGAATGCTCGAGGAACGTTCTTTCTCTCTCTCTCTTTCTCTCTCTCTCTCTCTCTCTCTCTCTCTCTCTCGCTCGCCCCGTCGAGCTTCGCGGCTTTCTTCGTGGGAGCTTTCGCACTTTTCCTCGGAATGCCGGAAATGCCGCGGTCGGCCACGGATATTTTTCGGACGATTGTTCGATCGTCGACGTTCGTACGCGTGTCATTACAGCCGAGTCTCGAAGGAAAAGGTCTGTCTCGCGGCAAAAGTCCGCTCGAGAAATTGATCGGGGAACTCTTCGTGCTTCAGTTTGCACACTCGACACGTGTATCTTCTCGCGCGGTCTCGAAGAAGAGTCTCCACGCGATGACGTCGTCGTCGTACGTTGTCCTCGCGGCGATGAATAGCGCGCGCGCTCCTCGAGTGGCGGCCGCCGCGCTTGCCACGCGAGGGGAGAGAGATTCGCGGAAAACACATCCCCGACAAAAGTCGCGATTAACGTTTCAATTGACACCTCGGGCCGCCGCCGCCACGTGGCGGTCGTAAATGCAGATCCGGCGCGCTCGACGACTCACGCGTTCATCAAGCGCCGAGGATGTCGCCCGAGCGCGCGTATCGCAGATCAGGCAGAGCGTTAAAAAGGAGGGGCAGGAGTACGAAGACTACGAGGACGACGAAGAAGAAGAAGAAGAAGAAGAAGAAGAAGAAGAGGAAGAAGAAGAAGAGGGGGAGGCGAATTACTTCCAATTATGCAAATGGCCCGGCGGAGGAGCGACGTTGCCCTCCCTCGTCCTTCGGCCCTGCGCGCCGTCTCGCCACTTGAAGCCTCTCCTCTCGCGCCCGCGGCCCGCAGTCGCGACCCGAAAGTATAAATTGCATATACACTCGTGCGCGAAGTACGCTGAAGCGCTCGTTGTACTCTTGATGCGCGAGCGTGAGCGTGCGAGCGAGCGAACGAGCGCGGCGGGAAGGGTTACACGCGCGTAATGTACGTTGTAATACACGAGGCCGCGGTAAAGTGGCCACTCGGTCGACGAGTGTGCGTTGTACAAGCCGTACGCGCTTCGCATATGTACACGCCCGGCCCGGCCCGGCCCGGCCCGGCGAAATATGTTCGCGTCACTTTTGCGGAGCGCGTCGGACGACGACGACGGCGACTCTCGGAGGAGCGGCAGAGATGTCCTCGCGACCTCACCGCGAACCGCGCGTGCCGGCTTCTCTCTCACAGGGCAGGTTGTTCCGACTCCTTGCTGAGTTAACCGTCAGTTAAATCATTTGTCTGCCTATGTCTAAACTGGAGAAAGAGCAAAGATAAACGTATGATTTAATACCGGTTAACTTACCAAGAAGTTGAAACTTAACCGGCCCACAAACACGAAGAGAGAGAGAGAGAGTCGGTTCGCTTGAGAACGGGCGGGATCGCACGTACACAGTTGAAAACATTTCGTACTTTTGCGTTAAAATTATCTGTGTGTAGGAAGCGTTTGCGTTAAATTGTTTGCACAGTCGTGTGTTAATTTAACACACATATCGTTGTTGTGTCACCTAGACTTTCTTGTGGTAAATTAAGATTAACTATTTTCAAGTGTTGAAGTGACATTTCCGAGTAATAAAATAACACAATTTATATATGTAAATGCATGAATTCTTACTATGACATATTTTATATGTTGAAGTCAACACCTATAATGTGTTACTTTCCTCATTGTAACAGTTATCTTTGTGTTAAATGTATAATGTTAACGTTTCTGGTGTTTGGTGAAAATTGGATTTTTATAACACATAAATCATGTCGATCTAACATTTTCGTCTCGTTAAATCATAAATCATTACTATCCCCAAATGTTGAAGTAACATTCACTCATATGTCAATTTAACACAAACTGTGATTCTTGACGGCATTCAAATGTTAAATTTTCGTGTTAATTTTTTACATATTATATACATGTTACATCTTAACATATTTGCTGTACGTTAGATTAACGCATAAATGACAGTGGATGATTCGAGACACATGAAATATGTCAAATTTAACGCATCATTTCTTACGAGTGTACGATAATCGATGTGGAGGATTTTTATCCGGGATCCGCGCCCGGTGCTTCCGAGAGCTCCGCGATTTTTACGTCGACTGCGCGACGTCGCGCGCGTCTCCACTGCGATTTCCCTTCGTGTTCTCTGACGATTCTCGACGCAACGTCCTCTACGACATCGTCGACCGGCCCGCGCTGTTGAAACGAGAGCTCGCGTTCTCGAGGCGACCTCGCCGACATTCTCGGCGCTCCGAGACTCTCCCGAGAGAGCGTCGCGACACGACGCGGTAAGAAGGAAGGAAGAAAGAAAGAGGAAAAGTGCAGGCCAAGAAACGGCCAAGTTACTCACGTGTCTCTCCTCCGTCGAGCTCATACCTGCAAGCAAACAACAAACGTCGCGGTATAGCGCAAGACGCTCGAGCTGCGCGCGCGCGCGCGCGCGCCACAGTGGCGTTCGAGCAGCCAGAAAGAGAGAGATCGCTTCTTAATCTTTATAAGAGTGTGCCATAATAGCGCGAGAAGCGCCGCCGACCCGCCGTATTATACGGATGTCTGCAGCGAGATAAGCGACAAGATTGAGCAATCCGCCTTTGGTGACTCTATTTGCGAGCCGTCCGTTCCCCTCAGCAGTGCCGCGCGCGCGCGCTCGCGTTCCTCCGCTTTCGTAGGAAACATTCAAACACGGATGCGCCTTTCGCGCTCACGCTCACGCTCGAGCGTCACAGTAAGACGCCAGGAGGAGGAGGAGGAGGAGGAGGAGGAGAAGGTCGCGTAGGTAGGAAAATATTGTGATATCGGCCGCGCGCGCGCGCGCGCGATTGAACGACGAACATCGCGTATCGATAAAATGTTAATAACGCGCCGTAAAACGGCGGCTGACACTGCTTGCTACCGAGACGCGCGGCGAGGAGGGAGGAGGAGGGCAGAACGAGCGAGCGGGAGAAGGACAGAGCGAACGAGGGGAGAGTTCGCGAGTGGCGTCCATATAAATGATCTTCATGCATATTTATGCGCGCTTTTCGCTCAAAACCGCCGCTAGCGCGTCCGCTAACAGGATGACGCAAACATGCGCATACTCTCTCTCTCCCCCCCCCCTCTCTCTCTCTCTCTCTCTCCCTTTCTCTCTCTCTCTCTCTCTCTCTCTCTCCGAGAGAGCGGATACCCGTAATAAAGCGCTTTGAACATTTTCCGGCCGACGCGAGAGACAGGCTCGTCGAGAGAGAGAGAGAGAGAGAGAGAGAGAGAGGGAGAGAGAGAGAGAGGGGGGGGAGAGAGGGAGAAAGAGAGTCTCGTTCAAATATATATGTATCTATATGTATAGATATTTTTTTTACACCCTCGTGCCACGATCTCTGCTAACCCCGCGTGACGGTCGGTAGCGAGCGAGATGACTCGCTCTCGCGCGCAGCAGCGATCCGTTATACCCGGCTACAACGTTAAATCGAACGTGACCGGAGGTCGGGAATCTTGCCCTTCGTTAGTTCCCCTCCTTTCTCGATCACCGTCGTCGCCGTCGCCGTCGCCGCCGCCGCCGCCGCCGCCGCCGCCGCCACCGCCGTGTCGTCAAATTTCGACGAGGGTAAGGGGCTTGAGACGATCGAGTCGAAAGATCCAACTAACGCCGGGCTGGGCCACCTCGTCCCCGCAATCGAGTTAACGCGACCGTCCTCGGGAAAGAAGAAGAAAAAACGTCAAACGACGGCACGAGGCGGCGAAACGTATCGGCGGTCGGTAATTCGATGAAATCGGCCAGAATGAAGCGGCGAGAAGCGACAAGATCGCGAGACGAATCGTCTCGCGATCTTGCCGGGGCAGTCGGGACTGCTGAAGGGGAACGACGCGCGACGAACGAAAGTGTGGCAAGTCGGGACAAACAATGCGCAGCGCGACAAGGCGGATGCGTGCAGCACAGGTCCGATGCATATCGATGACTTACCTCCGCTGCTCTTGAGATCGTCCGGCTGACCGCGGTGGATATCCGGCTTGCCAAGCATCGACAAGGAATGCACGGCGGAGGCCGCGCCGGGGCTCGCGGTCGAGCCGGGCGTCAGTCCGAGACCGAGCAAAGCCGCGGACGCGGAAGTCACTACCGGAAGCCCCGCAGCCGGCCCCAATCCTGGAAGTCCAGGTAAACCCGGATGAGCCATCGCTGCTGCGCCCGGCGGTAATTGCCGCGTGTGTATTTGCTGCAGCAGCTGCGGTATCTCCGGCCTCTGCTGCTGCAACGATTTAGATTGGCCTTCGTCAATCGGGGTGTATCGCTCGAGTGTGTTCACGGCTTCCTCGTACGCGCGCGTTCCGCGAACCGCGTCACGGGTGCGTACGTCGAGGACGACGTACGACCTGCCGCGAAGCAGCCTGAATATAATGATCGAGTGCGTCTGTGCGTGTTAATCGATTAAAAAGGAAGGAAGCACGTGAGCCATAATTTTCGGCATAAAATTCCGTCCACGCGGAGCTGGCGTTAGTATTCGTGAGTCGTGAGCGTGACAGCCGGCCCCGAGACGAGAGACAGACACGAGGGGCCGCGATCCTCGGACGGGATTCCGCGGCCAAGTGTCGACCGCGAATCGGCAAGAGGAAGCGCGATGGTCCCGCGAAGAGGCGCCCTGCGCGCAGAAACGCGCTCGAAAGTCTCCCGCGCTTGCGAGCAACGTTGGAGAATCGTGCTCGGTAAGATCGCGAGATGCGCGAATCGCGAAACGAAACACATAACGGTCCCGAGAGCGGGGTTTAACGCGCCGTGAATAATACGCGCGATCGGGCGGCGGCGACGCGCATCGGCGGGCGGCAAGAGGAAAGAGGGAAGAGGAGAGAGAGAGAGAGAGAGAGAGGGAGAGGGATGGGGAGAGGGGGAGACAGAGACGGGGATCGGAGATCCCCGTCACCACCATCGCGTTTCACCAGCCGAGGTAGTGCGCGGGAGGGAAGATGGAGGGGCGAGGGAGGGATGGATGGGGTGTAACCGGGTGGAGAGAGGACTATACGTTCCTCGCGCGGTGTTATTAAACGAAATATTGATTCAACCTCTGTTTACCGAATAATACATATTCATGAGGGTTAGCGCTTCTGTCTATTTGCCTTCATCGTCCCTTCATCGTCCCCTCGCGCGTCCTCCTCTCCTTCGTCCTGCGCGCGTTCTGCGCCGCGCAACCCCGCTCGTACTTTCGCGTCGCGCGCGAACCCCTTCGCCGCCACCGTTGCGAGCAGCTCTCTCTCTCTCTCTCTCTCTCTCTCTCTCTCTCTCTCTCTCTCTCTCTCTCTCTCTCTCTCTCTCTCTCTCTCTCTCTCTCTCTCTCTCTTTCTCTCTCGACCAGACGCGATGCACGTCATGACACCGTTGGCGCGCACGCTAATTGTATTCCGCCTAACAGCGCGTCGCCGTAATGACGGACTGCCGAGATTGCGGTCTCGCAACCGCGACCTTGTCCGAGCGATCGCGCCCTTCTTACCGCGTTCTCGTTCGCGAGAGAAGACATTTCCTCGAGAGCGAACGTTCATCAAACACTGGCGAGGTCGGAAATTGGCGGAGTTTTTACTCGTCTATAGTTTCTCCGGCTGGATTCTCTCACTCTCGCGCGCAGAAACGGACTTGGAAAAATGAGCGAAACCGATCAAACGGGGACATCAACGCAACGCGCTCCAAGACAGTTCGATTCTTCCGAATCCTCGAGGCCGGAGGCAGCTCCGGCCGCGAATTCATTCGCTCGCTCACGTCGACGACGTTCGTCAGCGTTCGAGCTCGCTGAAAAACACTCCGGCCATTCTTTTCTCCTTTTTTTTTTTTCCCGATGCACCGCGCGTATATTGTTTCGACGACAACAGCGGCGGGGCGAGCGACGTACGCGAGAGAGCCTGAGAGAGGAAATTATTCGGGTCATGCGCGCGCGAGAATCAACTCGGAACTCAATTATACGCGACGCGTCCGCCGAATGCGAATCCCGCGTGGCGGCGCACACCGCGCGCCGTGATCGTCGCGAGCACGTTTGCCGCGGCCGCGAAAAACGACCGAGGGAACAGCGGGAGAGCGGGGGAGGAGATCATCGCCGGAGGAATAACGATCGAGATCGGGAGTAGCTGCGCGCGTCGCGTCGCGTCGGACTAATTTGCAGGTGTAACGCGGTGCTCGCCGCTCTCGGCGAATCTATCGGCGTCGCGCGCACGTGTGTTGCTCTACATATATATATATATATATATACCGTATATACCACACGTCGTGTTCGCGCACTTACCGTTATTACGGAATTTAAGTCAGCCATCGACACCTGCTTCGCCCTCTCTATAGCGGTGATGATCTGCTGCTGATGATCGTGCGGGAGGAAGGGCAACATCTGAGCGATAATGGTATTCAGTCTCTTCGATATCTCACTCTGCGAAAAGAGAGCGAAACATACGTGTGTATTTGTGTCGGCGCATGGCGAATTATAATCAGGGAGGGAACTCCAGAGAGGAAACCCTAGACTATGGCGGCCCAACCCTCTCGTGCCCAGCGCGTGTCTCGTAGATCCTTCCAAGCGCGTCTTCCTTGCGCCATAGAAGGAAACTAATGTGTCATTGATTCCCGCTCGGGGGAGCTCGGGGGAGGGACAACTTCGGCGCGTGGAGGTCAACCCTTCGCGTGGGCGTGCAATTGACGAAGGAAGTGAGCGAGTATTTATTTGTCCAAGTTCACGCTCCGGAGAAACGCAAGCACTCACACATCGCAACTCGCGTAGCGACTCTTCCACACCACACACCGCAGACTTCCCCGAGAGAGATTCCCCGTTACTCAAGAAATACCAACGTCGAAATAAGAAAGATCGACCACGAGCACACGTCCGGTCCACGTATCGTCGCGCAACGTTCAGCTGACGTCATTGCGACGCAACGGAGCCCGATAGAACGGATTCGTAGAAACGATCATTCGCCTCGACATTAATCCTTTGCTGCATGGTGCTCCTCCCAGAGGAGCCACCTATCATCCAAGCTTGTTTTCCCAATAATTTAAATTTTTCACATATTTCCTTAGCATATTTTGTTGGTATTGTTGGATTATTTTAATAATTACTAAAATGGTTGCTCTAATACATCAACTTTTAGAATCACTTCAAATAAGTAATTTGTTGTTAATAAGCATATACTGAACGAAACTGTCGCTTTTACAGAATAAATTCGTTTACGTGAAATTTTAAGTAATAACGTACACTTGAAAATCATTATCCGCGGGTTTTTGGGTTTCGCCGAATACAAATCCGGTGTGAAAAATACAAAATTCAAAATTGCGAGCCCAATATCGCGGACGGAATTTTCAGAATCAGTCGAATTCGCGTGAAACTTGCTACTCGGGGGGGGGGGGGTTCTTGAAGTCGCCGAATACGAATCCGTTGTGAAAAATATAAAATTCAAAATGACGGATCTCACACGGCGAACATAATCATAGAAATGAGACAAGCTGACTGCGCTTGAGAACCCGATAACCCGACCGGGGTCAATCGAACCTTGCCGCGTATATCCGTTGTAGCTCCGGCATTTCGATTTTTCGCTAACGAATTTGCAATTAGCAATCTCGAAAACCCTTAAATAACACATTCCAAGCGAATTCGGCTGATTTTGAAAATTTCCCCCGCCATATTGGACTCGCCATTTTGAATCTCGTGAAATTTTCACCCCGGATTTGTATTCAGCGACGCTAAAAACCCCCGAGTAAAAAGTTTCAAAAAATTATAATCGTTAAAAAAAACGTGCAACAAAGGATTAAATGACCACGGAGGAGCGTGGCGTATCTCGAAATCAGGATCGTCTCTCCCTCTCTCTCTCTCTCTCTTTCTCTCGCCGCTCGTGAGATTTCGTTTAACCGAGTCGATAACACGCGGGCCCGGAATTCTCCAGAGAACGGAGCAGCGCGTGGATGTCGCGCGCCTGTTAAATAGTAATAGCCGAGGTCCGGTGGTCCCCGGACCGCGAGCGCGTATCCCACGGCTGTACAGGCAGAGCGTCCTCCTCTCGAGCGGGCCGTGGGGCCGACGACGCGCCCCAAGTGAGTAATGAAAGCGCGAGTCGGCCGGACGGCCGACTTCGTCGCCTCGCGCGTCGTCTTTAAACGCGCGAGTAATGAGCGGGGCTGGCTACATATTTCCGTCGCGATCTTCTGTCAACAGGGCGTTCCTCTATTTTCGTCGCGTCCGTCCGTCCCGTCGGTCCCGCGGCGCGTGGATATTAGTCTCTCTCGCAGTCTGTAAGAGCGGCCGAATAAATGAACGAGTTGGCGCGTAGGTGCGTGCGTGCGTGCGTGCGTGCGTGCGTTCCGAGAATAAAGCGCCCGGCGAGCGGCGTAAGACGCGCGAATAATGAGACGTGTTCACGAGGGCTTCGAGGGGGCCACGAGCCAACCCTCCTCCGCCTCCTTCCGCGCGACGCGACGCGACGCGACGCGACGCGACGCGACGCAGCGATCAGACTCCGTGAGAATCCCAAAAATGCCTGCGCAGGTTCTTTGAACCTGCTAAAAGCGTAGACGACGCGGAGAGATGTCTGAGCGGGGAATCGCTGAATCTTCTACTCACATGTTTCTGTATCTCCATGTTTAGGCCGTACGACATTTCGTAGTACTGCAACAGAGAAATTTCGCAGGGTGATTAAAGCGCTGGTCGTGCTGGGCTTTACGTAATTGACGAGTGCGCGAGCCTCTCTCTCTCTCTCTCTCTCTCTCTCTCTCTCTCTCTCTCTCTCTCTCTCTCTCTCTCTCTCTCTCTCTCTCTCTCTCTCGCTCTGACTCTAATTCTCTTTCTCCGACGCAAATGGGAACGATTAATCCCGAACGGCGATTCCGTCGCGCGCGGATCAGCACGGATATGCGCCTCCGCGAATTAACGATCGATTAACGCGCGCATGTAATCCGACAGACATTCCTCATGAGATCGAAGAGATTCGTCCCGATTTCCGACCCGCGGAGAGTCGTCGTTACGCCGCGAATCGGCGAGTCGCAGCCGTTTAGCGCTCCGCGGCGCGGAGCGGGTTTCCACGCAAACGCGTTATTAATTATCGCTAATCGCGATAACGCAATCGTGTCCGGCCGAGCGTACTTGAGAGACCGCGGTTGCAGGCGCGGGAAGAGGAGAGGAAGGGGGAGGAAAAGAGAGGAGAATGCGCCCGCGCGCGCGCGCGCGCCCCGCGTGAGAAGTACGAGATGAGGAGGCGAACGCACGCGTGTAACCCGCGCCAGCCGGGTTACAGGTTCTTAATTTTACGGGCCATTAGCCCGGTAATTACACGGGCGAATTAATTGCGCCGTAAGTAAGTTATTTCACCCGGGAGATAGACACAGGCGAGGTGGAGCAGGAGTGAAGGAGAAGGAGGGGGAGGAGGAGGAGGACGGGGAGGAGGAAGGAAAGGGGTGGATGCTGGAAACAAGTACCGGGGATGGAGGCGGAGGTTGTTGAGATCGGCTGCAACGGCAACAGCACTCGCCGCCGCCGAGCGACTCTTTCCCCGGGGGCAATAGCGTTCGTTACGGCGATGCAACGTCCTTAACGCGCGTTAACGAGGCCGGCGCGCGGCAGACTGAAAGACAGAGGAGGGAGCGAGAGAGAGAGAGAGAGAGAGAGAGAGAGAGAGAGAGAGAGAGAGAGAGAGGGAAAGAAGCGTTCGTATCAAATGGACTAAGCGGAGATTAATTGCGTTTAAACTGGTGGCCCGCGCGCGGCGCCTCCGCGTCGATTAGGTCGACGAGAACGCGCGAGAGAAGCAGCAGCGCCGCCGCCGCCGCCGGCGAATTAAAACGGTAACGATAAATTGATGCTACGGGCGTAAAACTCCGACATGGCGTTCGTTTTCGATTTAATTATCACCGCTCGGTCGATGGTCGAATAAAGAGGCAAATAAAAGGCTAACAGCGCGAATAGAGCGCGTCCGGCCGAGAGACGAACGCGAGAGAGCGGACGCGCGCGCGCGCGTGCGATTTAAAAATGGCCACGCCACGGATTTGCAGAGACGCGGTCGGGCGAAATTTCAGCGTTATTTTCGCGTCGGTTTAACGTTCCCTCTCTCTTTCTCTCATTCTCGCCGTCTCTCTGAAAATTCCACCACGTGAAAAAGGATTCCTGCCACTCGCAAGAGTCCAGAGTAACACGCTGCTGATCTCTCGTTCTCTCTTCTCTCTCTCTCTCTCTCTCCTTTTCTCTCCTTCTATCGCTCTTTCTATGTTTGTCTCGTACGCGCGCGTGCGAGAGAGCGACTCGGAAGTTCATAAATAACTCTCCCCGTCGCGGTATGTTCGCTCTTTTTTTCTGTTTGTCGCGCAGGAAAACCACCACTGATGCTGATCGCGGATACGATAGAGAAGGGACGCGATGAAGAGACGCTCGAATATTAACGAGCCGTAGACCGGCGTCGCCGCTGTGACCCAACAGCGTATTACTTCGTCATTAAGCGTCCGAGACAGACGCGCGCGCGATGTAGACTAATTCGATGAGAGCCACTGGCTCTTAGAGTCATTAGCTATGCACAGTAGGTGTGCACAAGCATATATATATATATATATATATTATATATATATTATATATACATACACACACGCGCGCGTGCACATTTATATACCTGTATAACCGACTATGCTACGCGGCGTAACGAGCCAATGTAAAGCCCAGCCCCGGCGAGGATGCAATTAATGCTAAG